CAGGGGAGTAGGAATTCAAATTAATGCTCAAGTTTTGTTTTATTTTTTATTTGTTTTAATTTGTTACTATATTGTGTTTCAGGGAATTAAATAAAAATATTTTGTGAACTTTGAAGAAAATATATTTATTTGTTCATTTCCCTTAGCAGAGGAACTGAGATTCATTCCTACTCTAAGGCCTAGACTTTTAAATGAGAAAAATACATGGGACATGCTGATAACTTTCCTGAGAATAATAAAAACTTACCATTGGGAATTTGCCTATTTGGAGTTCTGATATGCACACAGGCCACTGGAAGATAGAAGGCACCTATTGTTCTTTTTCTTTTAAATTTCCATTTAGAGGATTTTGGAAGGTTACACCGAGAGGTGGGCCAAACTTGTGAAAGAAGTGAACTTTTGAAAAAGTGTGGCACTGGGTTATTGAGTCCAGAAAATGTCTGTAAGTTGACATCCTGGCCGAGTCAGGAATCTCTTCAACACGAAACAGAAGGCTGATTCCCTGTCCCTGTAGTGACTCACATGGGACCTCTCAATATCAGGGGCCTGAGTGTGTCACTTCATGAGTAGTGAGGGAACGCAGTGCCCTATTCTCCAACCTAGGTTGCTGGATAAAGGAGAGAATCTAGATTGGGAGTGGTGGAGAAGAGACTCAAGGAAGCTGAATTTCTGTTATAAAGGGAATAGAATTTAGTTAATTTTTGAGAGGAGTCTGGGTTCATAATAGTGCTCTTGGAATTATCCTTTTCCTTATGATTTAAAATAGTTGGGCATTGTAAGCCAGTGTCCAGTTTTGGAAGTTGAACGAAGTTATTTATCTTTTCAGAACTCAACAGTGACAATCGAAGAATTCCATTGTAAGCTCCAAGAGGCCACAAACTTTCCTCTTCGTCCTTTTGTGATTCCATTTCTCAAGGTAATTCTATCAGATAACTACTAAATGTAATTTATCTTCACCATTCCTCAAGATCTACTGATCTCTGTTCTGTAATCTAAATCAGGGTGGCTTGCCATGTTTTTTATCTTTCTTATATTTTGGACTGGAAGAGAGGTGTGAGTATAATCTGCAGATAAGCCTCATGCTTGATGAGATGAGAACTGTAGAAGCCTTGAGTTGTGATCTGTGTGCAGGAGGGAGGAGGTGGTGATTGGGCTAGGAGGGTGGGGGTTGGGGTGGAGGGTGGGTTCTTGACAGAGGAAATAACTGAGCACTAAATCTTTTGGGTATGGCCAGAGCAGAGCATGGAGAGTGTGTGTTATCTTAGAGGAGATGCTTTGCAATTTTGACTTCTCTAAAGTCAGGAGAACATGTAGGAAGACAATGTTTGTATCTTCCCAAGCCTCAGTCTAGTTTCTAATAATGTCCTTTGGTGCAATTTATGCTCTCTGTAACATAACTTTTGGGGACACTGTCCTAAATTATCATGCTTATGTGGTAAGTGAGGCAGTGTTATATTTATATGGAATGTGCCCCTTTTAAAAAACTTTTTTGAGACAGGATCTCACTCTGTTGCCCAGGCTAGAGTATAGTGGCATCATCATAGCTCACTGCAACCTCCAACTCCTGAGCTCAAGCAATCCTCCCACCTCGGCCTCCCAGAGTGCTAGGATTACAGATGTGAGCCACCGCGCCCGGCTGGTTTCCTAGTTTTGAGATTGCACTATAGTTATATAAGATGTTACCATTGGGGGAAACTGAGTATAGGATACATCAGAACCTCTCTGTACTATTTTTGCAACTTCCATCAACTCTATATAATTATCTCAAAATTTAAAAGATAAAAAATATTTTAAGCCAGGCACAGTGGCATGTGTTTGTAGTCTCAGCTACTCAGGAGGCAAAGGCAGGAGTTTGAGGCTTAGTGGGTATGATCTTTCAATATCCCCTGCACTGCAGCCTGGGCAATATAGTGAGACCTTGTCTCTAAAATGAAAATAATAATAGTAACAAAACTTTAGTCTTATATCCTATCTCTACCCCTTGTCTTCTGATACTAGTATAGATATTGCCCTTGAGCTCCAGACCAGACCCCCAACACCATACCTTTCTTCTCTCTTTCCAGAAGCATCTTTCACAAGGCTGCACTTTAATTTCATCAGGTGTGACACTTCCGTAAAGCCGTCCTTGCTCCCCTAAGTCTGATTCAAATATGTCTTCCCTGTGATTCCGTTGTGTCCTGTACACATTTGCCTCAATCATACTGTAATGAACAGCTTAGTTGCCTCTTTTCCCACTAGACTATGAGTTCTTTCGGGAAAATAACAAACAGTTATGCTCTTTATGATAAAATAATTGAATGAGGAGGAAGCAGTGGGTGTTTATCCCTCTCAGATACAGGACTGCCTTGTATCTACAGTATATATAACCCTGGGTCCATTTCTCTGTCCCAACTCACTGTTTCCCTGTGCCACACAATTCATTCTTTCCCTTAGTCTATCCACAGGAAAACTTAAAAGCATTCATACAGTCTTTCCATACGTTTAATCTACTTCTGTTTGCTTTTCAACACCTGATTGCATTCAGTACAGTAGAGGTAAAACAGTATCATACTCTTATACCTATATTCTATTCCTTATTGCTAGTATTACAGATTTCTTTGGTTGCAGTGTACAAATGTCACATACTTAAAACAGGTACTCAGTTAAAGTATTTGGTATGAATGAGGGAAAGTGTTCAAACATTTTCATTTAACATGGTTAAATTGGATATATCTTTTTTCCCTAAAGGAAAATATCTTAATGTTTACTGAATAATAAATATGATATATTTGGAAAATCCAGCATAATTTCATACCCAGAAATAACTGCTGTTGTGATTGTCCTTCAAGATATGTAAAATGCTATAATTTATGTGTGTGTATGTGTGATTTGCTTAAGTGGATTCTTGGGAAACATACTGTTCTGTTTCTGTTTTTTCACTTAGCAGTATATTGTAGACACCTTTCCTTATTAGTGCATACAAATCTTCTCTACCCTCCCCATGCATTCTGATACATGACTTTATTGTCATTTTTAATGCAGTTTTCTGTTAGTGGACCTATATGTTTTCTCCCTTTTTTGTCTTTTTCTTTTCGTTTCATTTCTTTTCTTTTCTTTTCTTTTTTTTTTTTTTTTTGGTTAAGAAGCAGTATTGTATTGTGAATAATTTGTATATCACGTGTTAGGCCTTTGAACACTTGATGATTTCCTAAAAATAAATTCCTACAAGTGTTAATTGCTCTTTTCAGGGGAGTAGGAATTCAAATTAATGCTCAAGTTTTGTTTT